GGGAGCTGGGATGGTTTCCGAGTAACAAAATGCGGCCTGGGAGTTTTTGTTGGTGTACCTCTGGTCCTCCGGAATGTAGGTGCGTTCCTGTGGAGACACCCCAGAGACATCAGAGCGTGTAGGAGAGAAGAGCACGGACTCTTTCCTCTCTCTTTCCTGACAGGTTGCAGGAAGGAAACGTGGCTCACGATGTGCTGTGCAGGACTGGCAGGGGGGAAAGCGGAGCGCAGCACTGCTGGACTTTGGGATCTGCTCTCACTGAGGCAGAGGGCTGAGGTGAGCACAGAACACACGGACAGGAGCAGGGGACTCCTTGCAGGAGGAGGCAGAGAGCCGTGGGGAGGGCGGGCTGGTCAGTCGTCAGCTGTCCTGCCCCATGCAGACCCTTCCTCCTCCTCAGGAGACACAGCTGAGAGGTCTTTGCTTGCAGGAATGTAGGCAGGGTGGGAAGCCACGGCGCGCTCCTGGCAGCATCAAGCTAACAAGACGGCCAACACTTACGAACTCTTTGTACGTCTCAGCAGCCAGGAGGTGGAGGTGCTGAGCCCTCAGCACAGCGTTGGCAAACAGGTTGGAGAGGGGCATGGCAGGGAAGGTGGCAGCAGCGCCCTGCTGCAGTCCCAGCGTGACCACAGCAACGAGGAGAGGAGAAAACCACGAGCCTGCAGCAGAGCAGAGAGGAGAGGGGTTGCAGGAGAGGGGTTACCTGTCCTTTGGTGGCACCTGGGGATCAGCGTTGCGCCCACCTGTGAGTGCAGCCCCCCACAAAACCCCATCCCCTCTCACTGGGTGCGCCCCTGATGCTCAGGAATCATTGTTGCTCCATGGAAACTGGAGTTCATCCCTTTGCTTTCCCCTCATGTTTTTCGGTAGGTTTCACCTTCCCGAGCAGAGCACGGGGCGCCCTTTGGTGCCTGAGCAAACAGGACTGAGAGCAGTGGGTGAGGAGTGGGAACGGCTCAGCTGAGCCTCTGCACCGTGCTGCTGCCACTGCACTGCCTCCAAGGGACGAGAGGTGGTTGCATTGCCTGCGCTGTGGCTCCCTGGGACCCAGCTATGATCTGGAGGTCACTGCCAAGCCTGAAGGTTATTAACCCTTCACATCAGCTCACACCAGTGCCCACTTTCACAGGTTCATCTCAGTGGAGGTGAACTGGAGTGGAGGAATGCTCTGGAGCCTGCAGGACTTGGACAAGAGCGGGATTGAATTGTTCTCTTTGAAGTGCCTTTCAACCCAGGCCATTCTGAGGGTCTACGATTAGACATCACCCTGATCTCTGTTCAGAGCCTTGGAATTCAGTTTTCGTATCCCTGGCAGCACATGTGATAGCGATAACTGTTACAGCTCTGCTTTGCCTCGTTCTCTGTATTCTGCAGCTCATTCCTGCCCCTTGCCAAGGTTGGGCTCAGGGTTACCTGACTGTTCGTGGTATGAAGTCACGCTGTAGGGAAAGATGTCCTTTGTCACTGATCTGTAAGCTGCCACGTTTTAATTCGGAGCCCCCCAGCGCCGCCCCACCATCGCGTCCCACCACCCGAAGCGCTTTGATGGCACGTCTGTTCAAGCTGAGGTAAAGCAAAGTACCTGGAGCCATTCCTGCCAGGAGAGCTGCTCGGGAGCTGCTGAGCGTTTCCTCCTTTCATCCAGGTGATGATGCCAGGTCAGACACCCCTTATATAGGGGGCTCTGTTTAAAATGGATGGGGCGTTCGCCATCGCTGCCACCTCTCCATATCCCCTCCTTGCATAAATGCAGATGTGCTCGCCATGGTGCCACCTCATTCTAGTCATTTATACGGAGATGCAAAGGTTGGGGAGGATGTTTGCCTGGGGATAAAATTAGTGCTGAACTTTTTCTTCATATTCTGCTGTTTATTGCAACCAGAGGTTGTACCACCATTGGAAAACCCATCCCAAATCTGTTCTGTGCTTACACGGGGGGATTTCCCGCACAGGTAGAAAATCCAGCTGGTTTTCCTGCCCGGTTTTTCTGCCCCGCAGTTCACGGGGCCGGCAGGGCAGCGCAGGGGACTTCTGGCTTAGAGCAGGTGGGATGGTTCCCCATGCAGTGGGGTTAGGATGGGTGTTGTTAGAAGAGCCTCACAGGCAGTGCTCGCTTGGATCCACCTGCCCATGCAGAAGCCAGTGGCAGAGCTCTGGGACGTCTCTCAGCTCCTCCTTTGGACAAAGCTTTGGGGTCAGGCGATGGCAGTGATCCCACAGCCTCGTGCTTTCTTTGTGAGAAAAAACCAGCAGTCAGCTGCTTTCTGCTTCTGCCCGGTAGGAATGAGAGCCGGCTCTGCACCTGGGTGTCCTGGTGGACGACAGGTCGGCCATGAGCCAGCAGTGTGCCCTTGTGGCCAAAAAGACCAATGGCATCCTGGGGTGCTTTAAAAAGAGCGTGGCCAGCAGGTCGAGGTGATCCTCCCCCTCTGCTCTGCCCTGGTAAGGCCTCATCTGGAGCACTGCGTCCAGTTCTGGGCTCCCCAGTACAAAACAGACAGGGATCTCTTGGAAAGAGTCCAGCGGAGGGCTGCAAAGATGGTGAGGGGCCTGGAGCATCTCTGCTATGGGGAAAGGCTGAGTGAACTGGGTCTGTTCAGCCTTGAGAAAAGGAGACTGAGAGGGGACCTGATCCAGGTCTATCAGTATCTGAGGTGTGGGGGGCAGAATGGTGAGGCCGGACTGTTTTCAGTGGGGAGTGGAGACAGGACAAGGGGAAACGGCCGGAAACTGCAGCATAGGAAGTTGTGCAGCAATGTGCACAAGAACTTCTGTACAGTGAGGTGACGGAGCACTGGAACAGGCTGCCAGGGAGGTGGTGGAGTCTCCTTCTCTGGAGATGTTCCAGACCTGCCTGGATGCCGACCTGTGCGACCTGCTGTAGGAACTGCTTTGGCAGGGGGTTGGACTCAATGAGCTCTGGAGGTCCCTTCCAACCCCTACCATTCTGTGATGCTGTGATTCTGTGATTAAGCAGAGGAGCGGTGTGGAGAGGAGGAAGAGAAGAAGGGGAAGAGCAGAAGCCCCAGCGCGCCTTTCCCTGAGCCGCACGAGGCGGAACCTGGGGTGGACGACTGCAGGAGGGCTTTCACTCCCCATAGGGCACCGACAGCACTTTGCCCCCCTGGCTGGGGGTCCAACCTGCCCCTGGTTGGGCTCTGATTTCCAAGAGCAGCATCATCACCGCAGCGCAGGGTGTGAGAGCTCGTTAATAAACGAGCTGTTCCGAGAAGCCCCGCGTAAATGTCAGTCCCTCGAGGAGAGGGAACAGTGGGTCCTGCAGCTATCAGGTATCCGGTCACCCAATAGCCAGCAACATCTGGGGGTGTTTTTCTGCTCCGGGCTGTTTAAATATGCCCATGTTTGTCAGAGGTGAGCAGAGCAGCAGGCACCCCGGCTCTGCTGCTCTTAGCAGTGAAGCCACAGCAGCGGCACCGAGCCCCGCTGCCCTGCTGCCCCTGCAGCCCTGTGAGTAAAAGCACAGCATGAAAAGCCAACCCTTTCCATCTTGCAGCCAGGAGGTGCCACGTCCCACACTGTGCACTGCCCTGGAGGGCCGTTTCCCCCCCTACTTGCATTCAGTGGGGCAAAAGGCGGTGTGTCACTGAGATTGCATGCCGCTGCCACAGTGACAGTTGCATAAGCAGCTCTCAGATATCAGCTTGGCATTCTGCTGCCTTTCACGTGCCCACGTGTGCAACAAAGGGTCGTGTCAGAAAGCAGCGTGACGCTCAGTGTCCTCCAAAATCCTGTTCTTATTTGAAATAAGGAATCTTCTTCCTTCCCTTTTCCTTCCCTTCCCGTTTCCTTCCCTTCCCTTTTCCTTCCCTTCCCGTTTCCTTCCCTTCCCTTTTCCTTCCCTTCCCTTCCCTTCCCTTCCCTTCCCTTCCCTTCCCTTCCTTCCCTTCCCTTCCCTTCCCTTCCCTTCCCTTCCCTTCCCTTCCCTTCCCTTCCCTTCCCTTCCCTTCCCTTCCCTTCCCTTCCCTTCCCTTCCCTTCCCTTCCCTTCCCTTCCCTTCCCTTCCCTTCCCTTCCCTTCCCTTCCCTTCCCTTCCCTTCTCTTTTCCTTCCCTTCCCTTCCCTTCCCTTCCCTTCCCGTTTCCTTCCCTTCCCTTTTCCTTCCCTTCCCTTCCCTTTTCCTTCCCTTCCCGTTTCCTTCCCTTCCCTTTTCCTTCCCTTCTCTTTTCTCTTTCCCTCTTCCCCTTTCCCCCTCCCTTTCCTTCCCCGGTGGTCCCACATCCTCCTGCTTTGCTGCTCTCACCCCAGCAATGTTTGGCAGAGGAGGCAATGTTCCCTGCAGGTGTGTGCGCCCAGCCCCCCCCCAGTGCTGGATACGAATCAGGCCATATCACAGAGCCTGGGCTCTACATCCTGGCCCACACTTATTTACACCGACTGCGCTTTAAATGCAGACCTATTTCAGTATAAAACTACAACAAAACCCCTCTCTCTGCTTCCTAGAAGCTAATCTAAGCGTTTAAAATAACGCAGCAATGCAGAAATATTTATTTGCTTCTGACATTTCAAAGGAAGCTGAGGCCCCGTGCTAAAAGCAGCCGGGCAGCAGAGCGGAACTGGGGTCACCGAAACTGCTTTTGTCACCAGTGGTTTCCTCTGCAGGTGCAGCTGCAGGCCCTGCGTGTCTGCGTGGCTCTGCTCGTTGGGTGACTTGTTTACAGGGCAGAGAAAGCAGTTGGGCGCTGGGAAGGCTGAAACGCTCTCCTTCCTCTTCCATTTCATTGCTGGAAATGGCGCCGAGGGCTGAGCCCTGAAATCCTGCACAGCTTGGGAACCGGGGCTCGTTTCTCCCTGCTGAGCAGCCCTGTTTCCTCACGGTTTGCCCTCAGGCTCTGCAGGCTGTTTCAGGAAGCAGCGCAGTCCCCTCTGCTTCTCCTCAGGCCGAGGCGCAGTGAGCTGCCGCCCCACGAGGGACCTTCAGCCCATTGCCACCCCAACACCCCCAGCGCCAGGGCTGGGCACGGTACAACGCAGCTCGGATGCCTGCAGGCGTGCAAGGTGGGAATTCACCCTGCACCTTTATTAGGACTTGAAAGAGCAGTTGGACGTTTGCGTCCCGCTATTTACATCCTTCCCATCACAGCTCCTCCTGGGGAGGAGAAGCCCTCCGTGTGCCCGTTGTCTCCCTGGTCTTCCCTCAAGTCTATGGGATAAAACAAGGCACTTGTGGAGGATCCTCCATCTCAGACAACAACCAGCTTCGTCAACTTCCAGCTTGGCCAACTGGACGCGTCTGTGGCTTGAGAGAGAACGCGGTGGCCCCAGATCTGCCAGCCCCACGGTGCTGCTCGCATGGCTCCCCTACCAGGAGCACAGGGCTGTGGGGGGTCTCAGGTCCTTGCAGCGTGGGGGGGAATTGTGTCTGTCCATGGGGTCACCAGCGTAGCACCTTGGTGGCAGTAACCGTGCCACAGCTCAGCACCGTGGTGTGGGGCTGCCTGGCATTTGGGGCTGCTGGGCTCTGAGGTTGGTTCCTAATATCTATGTAGGGTTTTGGGGTTGAGCAGTGGGGCAGGATGGGCAGCAGCCAGGGCAGGACAGTCTCGCTTGCGCAGCTTGGATGCGACCAAGCAAGAGCTGAGAGGCAGCAGGACCTGAGCTGTGTACAAGGCAGCTGGAGGTGGTGGCACCAAGTCCTTGCAGGTCCGTGGTGGCACCAGTGTGGTGCTGCCATGGGGAGGTGCTGCTGATGCCATCCTGGTGGTGGGGGCAGCACCCCTCACTCCTCTCCTGGGTGCTCCCCGACCGTCCATTTGGCCTTCATGTCCCGGAAAGGAGTGATGTCCTCGTAGGTGGCAATCTGCTCCACCTCCAGGCCCTGCCAAGAAGGAAGAGGTTGGGATACGAGGAACCCCCAGCGGGGATCCATCCCTGGAGTGTTTCCCCAGGGAAGAAAGCAGCTTCTGGGATGGGAGGAGATGGTGATAGGTGGGTGAACGTGCATAGAGCTTGGCTTGGCTCGTATCCACAGCTCTTTATGGCCAACGTGCATCAAGCACTGGGGATGAACGTGCCCCGTATGCCCTAAAAGGCTGGTGGCAGACACCCATGAGAGCACAGCTGGCTAGTCCAAGGGTCAGGCTGATTTTGTAGAGGTGTTTTGATCATTCATGCAGCATTACCTCATAGGTGTGGTCTTCCTCAGGGCTTTCCTTTCCGTCACCCTATGGAGAAGAAAGTCACGGGCTGAGTGTCAGCAGCACAGCGTGCTGTGGGGTCCTCCATCCCCTGCCCCAAGGCCAGGTCCCACAGCCCCCACAGGCAGTCCCACTCCCCATGAAATGCTCCCATTCAATGGCCCCAAACACAGTCTTGCACTTGCTGCCTTGCCCAGGCCGTGGGGCACCACTGGGAGAATGGCAGTGCCAAAACCAGGGACGGCCCCACTACTGGGGATGCTGTCGCTCACCTTTTCTAGGAAGAGGAGCATGGGGACGCTGATGAAGATGACCAGCAGGATGGTCTGGATGATGATGATGGTGTCCTTCAGCGTGTTCCTGTTCTGGATCTGCTGGATGTTGCTGCGACCTGGGAGCAGCAGCACAGGGAAAACCCCGAGTCCCCTCTCTGTGCCGCGCTCCCAATGGCTGGGGACACAGAGAGGAGGGGAATGGGACGATGTCCCCTGGGAGAGACCAGAGCACTGCAACCTGCAGGGGCTGGCATCGGGGGCCAGCTCCACTATGGGACGTCCTGAGCAAGAGCAGGAGCAGGGAGAGTGTGGTTTGTGCGAGGAAATGTCTGGGATGTGTCTGTGAGATGGGCAGACTGCATGCAAAGAGCCACCTGCTGTGTGATGCAGCACCCACTGCTGATCTGAAGCCCATGTGGGCAAACCCGTGTGGACAAACCCATGATGGCCATCCCAGACAGGATGGCACATTTTGTGCATCCAACACAGGGAGAACTGGGTGCACAGGAGCGTGATGTAAGGTTTACAGAGTTGGGAAAAAGGTGAAAAAAAATGGAGAAGCAAGGGAAGTGATGGAAGCGATGGGCTGCCACTCACTCATGACTCTGAGCTCCGTCCCACACAAGTAGGGCTGCCTCTTCTCCTCCGTCAGGTTCTTGCTGTCGCACACGTAGATGCCGTTGTCCTCGTAGCTGATCCTGAAGATGGTGAAGTTGATGTAATCGTTTGTACTCTTGATGCTGAAGCGATCGGAGCTCTGATCCAGCGCTTGGAACTCCTCTCCATCCGCCGGCGCTTTGTACCACTGCATGGCGTGGGGCTGACGGGTGTAGCAGATGAAGTGGACAGGCGTGTTCTTCTTGGCAGCCATGTAGCGGGGGTGCTGCCACAGCCCGAAGCACCCGCTGCCTATGGGGGACACGGGTGGGCACGGCAAGCCGGCAGGCTTTGAGTGCAGACTCATGGTTTTCTATGGGAGCGGCTTGAATGGAATGGGTTCTTGGTGCTCCCACCCCTCTCTTCCCGCACCTCGTCGGAGGTGTGCTCCCAAATGACAGCCCCGTTATCAGAGAGGCAAAGCGGATCCGGCTGTGTGCCCGTGTGGGGTTGGGGATGTGCCACGGAGGAGGGCACAGCCTGGAGAAGGGCTTTGGGGCACCTCCAGCTCTGCTGGGGACGGGCAGCCCCACGGATGGGAGGCACCGTGGGGACGTGGGGAAGAGCCCGACAGGTTGGAGGTGTTACCTGTGCTGTTACTGGTGCTGTTCCCGTCTGTTGGGATCCCACCTGTAGGATAGGAGAAGGGGCCTGAGAGAGTGGACAAGGGCCCGTGTAGGACAAACCTGTGTAGGACAAACCTGTGTAGGACAAACCCGTGTAGGACAAACCTGTGTAGGACAAACCCGTGTAGGACAAACCTGTGTAGGACAAACCTGTGTAGGACAAACCTGTGTGGACAACCCTGTGTAGGACAAACCCGTGTAGGACAAACCCATGTAGGACAAACCTGTGTAGGACAAACCCATGTAGGACAAACCTGCGTAGGACAAACCTGTGTGGACAACCCTGTGTAGGACAAACCCATGTATGACAAGCCCACATAGACAAGAACATGTAGGACATGTAGGACTGTGTACGACAAACCCATGTAGGACAACCCTATGTAGACAAACCCATGCAGGACAAACTCATGTGGGACAAACACACTTTGTACAAGCCTGTGGAGGGCAAAACCATGTAAGACAAACCCACGAAGGACAAACCCATATAGGACAACCCCATGTAGGATGAGCCCTTGTAGGACAAACCCAGGTAGGACAAACAAGCCCTTGTGGGACAAACCCATACAGGACAAACCCACGTGGAGAAGCCAACACAGTACAAAGACTTGTAGGACAAATCTGTGCAGAACAAACCCACGTATGACGAGCCCAGGTGGGATGACAAGTGCTGTGCATGCCCACCCCACATGGGACAGCGTGCTTTGGAGCATCAACCAGGACCTATGGATACAAACCCTTCTACGCCCATCCCGTCTCCCGAATTTCCTCTGGGTAGGCAGCTTTCTGGATGAGATCCCACCCAAACCTGCCTTTGCTACTCAAGCTGGGGACCCCCAGCACTGCAGGCACCCCGGTTCCCCTTGCTGCAGCTGGGCAGGAAGCACAGCTCTGTTTACTGCGTCGCTTCAGTGCCCACCTCCATCTGCTCTCTGCCAAACCCCACTGACTCCTCGCTGTGCAACACACAGAGCCTCCGAAGCCAAAGTCCCTGTTGCAGCGAGTCCCTCAACGCCACCCCAAGAGCTGTAGTGAAACCTGGTGACCAAAACCCTGCAGGGCTCGAGTGGGCACCCAGCAGAAGCCCTTTGGGGGAAAGACCCCCAAGAAAGGACCCCCGGTCTGAAGATGGGGTGGGAGCTGCTGCTGGGTTTGGGGGTTCCCTGCTCTGAGCAAGAGGGGGAGGAAGGGGACAGGAGCCACCTCCCGGCTTGGAACGCTGATTCTGCCCAAACAGTTCCACCCCCAAAAACCTTTTTGCTCCCGTTTCTCCCCCTCTCCTTGCTGCTCAAGCTCATGGAGCAAAGGGAGGTGGCTTGGCTGCGGCTTCAGCACTGCGTTGGCCTGATTTCTTCCTGTACTCTGATCTCTGAGGGTCGTAAATGGTGAAAAAGAATCCTTTTTTCTGCCCCTTGGCCACGAAGGCTCCGCTGCTTCCAGCTGCCCACCAGCTCCCATCGCCACCACCCGCACCCATGGTCTGCCTTCTCGCATGACCACAAACTTTAAAGCAGATCCATTTGGATGTGGTTGGCTGGATGGAATCCCGTGGTGCACGAAGCGTAGGGACGCGTGGCGCTGCGTGCGCTTCCTCACCGCTACGAGCCTCTGCAGCACGGAGCCCACGCTGCTGCCTACCTGCAGCCACAGCCAGCAGCCAGAGGTTGGCCTGGAGCACCCACAGCCTCCTGCAGAAATCCCCCATCTTCTCGCTGCGGGCGGCAGGACAGCATCCAGGTCTCAGCCTTTGCACGGCGTTGCTCCGACCTCCGCACCCGAAAATGGCGAAGTGCTGCTCTGCGCACGGCGCTGCCTTTCCTGCTCATGTAAATGGGCTGCAGCGGGGACTTTCCTTTGGGGGGGTGGTTTTGAATGCAGCGCAGACGCTGCGGTGGCCGTCCCTGTGCTGGGCAATGCCAACCCTGGGCTTGCAAAGCTACGCGGGGACCAGAGCCGGTGCTGTCCCTATGGCGAGCCCAAGTGAGGCAGGATTTGGGAACAGGCTGCCCAGGGAGGTGGGGAAATCACCATCCCTGGAGGTGTTCCAGAACCGTGGAGATGTGGCACTGGGAGGCATGGGGGGGTGGGTTGGGGTTGGACTTGGAGATGTTGGAGGTCTTCTCCAGCCTGAATGATTCTACACGTGGGCACAGTTGGACGGGTTGGGGCTGGACTTGGAGATCTCGGAAGCCTTTTCCAACCTTAACGCCTCAATGAATGAGCGTGGTGGGATGGGTGCACCTCCAAGATCCCCAAGTCCAACCCCAACCTGTCCCTACCACAGAATCATTCAGGTTGGAAAAGGCCTCCAAGATCACCAAATCCAACCGCCTCTTCCATCCTGGATGATTCTGGGCACGGTGGGGATGCGCTGCGCTTGGACTTGGGGATCTCGGAGTCTTTTCCAACCTTCGCAGTTCTGTGGTTCTGTGTGGGGACGTGGTTTAGCAGCTTGGTGGGGATGGATGATGCTTGGACTTGGTGATATTAGAAGTCTTGTCAGTCTAAAAGATGTTGTGGTTGTATTGTTCTACGAGTGCACGTGGTGGGGATGGGTTGGTGACCGGGCTCGATGGTCTCGGAGGTTTTTTTTTGACTTTAATGGTTCAACCATTGCACCCCAGGGCTGTGCCCACCTCTTGGCTTTGACTCAGATCTGTGGTTCCCCATCACTGTGCCACAGTGAATCTCCAAGTGCAATGCTCTGTGAGTGAGCACTGGGCTGTAACTCCTTGCAAAAACACCTTGGGGTGCTTCTGCCAGCCGGGCTGGTCCCCAGAGCCCAGCTTTGCCTCCTGGGGGCCTCCCCAAATGCTCACCTCCTGCAGGTTGTTTCCTTTGTGCCGTTTCTGAGCCAGCCTGTGTTCAGGGGAGCAGAAATAAAGATTTCTTGAGAAACTGTGGCCTCGGGAGGGAAAGAGATGATGGGAGAGGTGCCTCCTCCCTGCAGAGCAGCACAGCATTTGGTGTAAAAATACAGCTGGGACACAGGGTCCCAGGAAGACAGAAGAAGTAGAGATGCCCCCAGAGTGGGACAAACTGTGCTGTGAGCGGTGCAGAGCCGCTGCTGGGCAGCTGCATCCTTCCCCAGCCCTTTCCTATTCGTGGTGGCTTGGATTTCACTGCTGTCCCCCCTGTCTCTGAGTGGGGAGAGGGATGCTGGCTCACGGCACCCCTCCCTGCAGCCCTGTGCCTGCGTGGGGGCCCTGCTTGGATTACACCAGCCCCTGCATGAGCTGTTCCAGCAAAGTGAAAACAGCACTGAGGCCGTGCCACGTCCCATGGGGACCTCAGTAGGTCCTGGGGTGGCTCAGCCTTCAGCACGCATGGATGCTGGAACATCCTTCACCTCCTCCCTGTGATGCTGAGCTGCTGCCATGTAGCCAGTGGGACGGGTTCAACTCCACCCACAGATTCCAGTATGGGGCATCTCAAGGCAGTCTACACCTTCCATTCACCAACCCTTCTCCTTGGCTGGACCCACGGCAGCATCTCCTATAGCCCCTGTAGAGTTAGGAGAAGACACCCATGTGCTGCTCTGGGAGTTCTGAGGGGGATTTCAGCCCAGAGGTGTTGAGCAGCGCCATACTGAGGTCCAGAGGGTCCCCAAATCCCCCTTCTCTTTGTCTGGACCAACAGCTGCATTTCCTATAGCCTCTACGGGGCTGGCAGAGGCACCCAGCAGCCCACGGTTCCATCCATGAGCAGCTCGGGGCTTTCAGCCCAGAGGTTCTGGACGGTGCCCCATTGGGGTCCAGACCCATCCAGGAGGCCTCTGGACCCCAGGCAGAGGGAGAGGTGGGGAGATGATTCCCCCTCCCCAGTGGTATGGAAGGCACTTCCCCCCCTGCACACACCAACGCGTTTGGTGTCGTAATAAGAGACCGTTCACGGTTGTTTATTTTAAGAAATGTACAAAGAGAAATGGCTTCAGCTCGCACAAACTCTGCTCTTTGGCATTTTCCCATCACCGACGACACGTACATAGAAGCAGCATTCATGGTGAACCTCAACCCGGGCTGGAAAGCGCCCGGCCGAACGCATGGGGACCCACCGAGCTCTATGGGGTGCCACAGGGCATCCGCAATGGCTGGGAGCCAAAACCAGCCCGAGGAAGAAGAAAGAATAATAATAATAATAATTAATAATAATTAATCATAATAAAAAACAGAAAAGAAAAAGGAAAAAAAAAAAAAAAAAAAAAAGACAGACTCTTTGGCTTCACGCAGCAGCCCTTGTTTTAAGTGGAAGAGGTTTTGGTTCGTGGTTGTTTTGCTCTCAAGACTTACGGGGCCCCATTTGAGCAGCTCAATGCAGACCATCCCCAGGCCCCAGGGATGCGACTCGTTAGCTGACATTAATTTCTGCTTTCCGTGGGGCTCAACGTGGTTTTGCTGCAGGGAATTCCCTCCCCTGCCCATGGCTTTCCTGCCACAAAATCTGGATGGAACGGGAAAAACAGGAGCAGGAATAGAAACGGAGTTTACATTCGAACCGTGGAGACCTGAATGATTCATGGCGCGTATTCGGAGACCTTTGAGGTCTGATCTTTAACCCTGAGAACGCACTGGGGGCGCTTCGTTTGGGCGATGCAAACAACTGCTTAAGACATCACTGCACTTCCTTCGTGCGTACCAAAAATCAATGCACAGAGCTTATGAAAAGATCCCGGGGAAAGGAGCGACTTTAAGACTTGGGAGTTCTTTGCTCACATGAACCTTTCCGTAATTGTTCTCGATGTTATTTCACTTGGCTCATCTTCCGCCCGCCGCCCCCTGGGGCGGTCATACGCAAGGAATTGTGAAATAGCATTAATGAACAATTACCCGCAGTGAAAGGACAGCCGTGCTCGTCTGTTAATGTCTGAAAAACGTCGTTACCGTGATTAGATCATTTCAAAACTAAGATGCTTCTCACCAACAGTAGAGAGATTTCACATGTCAGAAAAATATCCAACTCTTTGCGAGCGCAGTGAGCTACAAAAAGGATCGTGAGATCCCGCTCAGAAACGAAGGTGTCAGCTTGAAACATCTGAAATTAGCTCAGCATCTAAGACCTACCGACCTGAACACGGGAGGCTTCTTGAAGAGGAGATACGAACAGAGTCTTTTCAGATGCCAGGAAATGGGAGCTGCTCTCTGTTACACCAACGACTCTTTCACGACGCGCTGCCCACCCGCTGGCTTTGCTTCTACAGGAGCACTCGGAGTCTCTGCGCTCGGGACGGGTGCGAGATCAACAGCAGCGCCCACCTCTGCCTCGGTCCCACTGTTCCCATACATCTCGTGCATTTTGGTTGCAATCAGACCTTCCTTCTCAGGGGCGTCCCCAATCAGTGCCTCCTCATCCCTGCTGTGCCGGTACATGTAGGATGCCTGCTTGACCGAGCGCCTCAGCAGGTACCTCCGAAACGCCCGCTGGATTTTCGTTGCGCACACCTCCTCGTGTTTCCTCTTCAGAGTGGTGGTGATGGGTTCGTAGGAGACCTTTGAGGGGTTGGCGGCCATGAACTTCTCCTCCATGGTGTCCTTCAAGGCGTCCATCTCTCCGGAGTCCCCCAACACTTCCTTTGTCAGGGCAAAGAGGATGTCCAGGCAGTGGATTTTGTCCCCGGCAACCATCGGTAAATCCATGGTGATCA